TGTTCACCAAAGGATTTGACGATTCTTATGGGAGACCTGAATGCCAAGGTTGGAATGGACAACACTGGATATGAAGACATCATGGGACGACATGGACTGGGAGAAAGGAACGAAAACGGTGAGAGATTTGCAAACCTATGTGCCTTCAACAAACTGGTCATCGGTGGCACAATATTCCCGCACAAACGCATACACAAAGCTACATGGATTTCACCGGATCACACTACTCAAAACCAGATTGATCATATCTGTATCAACAAAACGTTCAGAAGGACCATGGAGGATGTGAGAACCAGGAGAGGAGCTGATGTAGCCTCAGATCACCATTTGCTAATCGCCAAAATGAAACTGAAACTAAAGAAGCACTGGACAACGGGACAGACAACATCACACAAGTTTAATACAGCCTTTCTTCGAGATACTGTAAAGCTCAACGAATTCAGGATAGCCCTCACCAATAGGTTCCAGGCCTTTCAGGATCTACACAATGGAGAGGAAGCAACATTGGAGAACAATTGGAAAGGGATTAAGGAGGCAATCACTTCAACATGTCAGGCGGTCCTTGGTCGCAAGAAGCAGCATCATAAGGAATGGATCTCTGTTGATACTCTCGCAAAAATTGAAGAAAGGAGGAACAAGAAAGCAGCAATCAATGTCAGCCGAACAAGAGCGGAGAAAATTACCGCACAAGCTGCATACACAGAAGCAAACAGGAAAGTGAAGAAGAGCATCAGAGCTGACAAACGAAAATACGTGGAAGATCTAGCAACGACGGCGGAAAAGGCTGCAAGAGAAGGAAACATGAGACAATTGTACGAAACTACAAAGAAGCTCGCCGGGAACTATCGTAAACCAGGACGACCAGTGAAAAGCAAGGAAGGCAAAGTAATCAGCAACACTGAAGAACAGAGAAATAGGTGGGTAGAGCACTTTAAGGAACTATTGAATCGACCAGCTCCACTGAACACACCCAACATCGAAGCAGCATCCACGGATCTCCCAATTAATATTGGCGCACCTACGATTGAGGAGATCAGTATGGCCATCAGGCAAATCAAGAACGGCAAAGCAGCAGGACCAGACAACATTCCAGCAGAGGCAATGAAAGCAGATGTAGAAGCAACCGCAAAAATATTTCACATCCTCTTCAAGAAGATTTGGGATGAGGAACAAGTACCATCAGATTGGAAAGAAGGATACCTGATCAAAATACCAAAGAAAGGCGATCTCAGCAAGTGTGAGAACTACAGAGGAATCACTCTTCTTTCAATACCAGGCAAAGTCTTCAACAGGGTATTGTTAAACAGAATGAAGGACTTCGTAGACGCCCAACTTCGAGATCAACAGGCCGGATTTCGGAAGGATCGATCGTGTACTGACCAAATTGCTACATTACGGATCATTGTGGAACAATCAATTGAATGGAACTCACCACTCTACATCAACTTCATCGACTACGAGAAAGCATTTGACAGCGTGGATAGGAAAACACTGTGGAGGCTTCTTCGACACTACGGTGTGCCTGAGAAAATAGTCAACATCATACGGAATTCTTATGATGGATTCAACTGCAAAATCGTACACGGAGGTCAGCTGACAGACTCTTTTGAGGTGAAGACCGGTGTGAGGCAAGGTTGCTTACTCTCACCCTTTCTCTTTCTCCTGGTCATCGACTGGATTATGAAAACGTCAACATCTGGAGGGAAGCACGGTATCAACTGGACAGTTAGGACGCAGCTGGACGATCTGGACTTCGCAGATGATCTGGCTCTTCTATCGCACACTCAACAACAAATGCAAGAGAAGACGACCAGTGTAGCAGCAGCCTCTGCAGCAGTAGGTCTCAACATACATAAAGGAAAAAGCAAAATTCTCTGATGCAACACAAAATGCATCAACTAAATCACTCTTGATGGAGATGCCTTGGAGGACGTTACCACCTTCACATATCTTGGCAGCATCATCGACAATCAAGGTGGATACGATGCAGATGTGAGGGCACGGATTGGCAAAGCAAGGGCTGCATTTCTACAGTTGAAAAATATCTGGAACTCCAAACAAATATCAATCAACACCAAAATAAGGATTTTCAATACAAATGTCAAGACAGTTCTAATGTATGGAGCGGAAACATGGAGAACTACCAAAGCCATCATCCAGAGGATACAAGTGTTTATTAACAGTTGTCTACGTAAAATACTTCGTATTCGTTGGCCAGACACCATCAGCAACAACGAACTGTGGGAGAGAACAAACCAGATTCCAGTGGAGGAGGAAATCAGGAAGAAGCGGTGGAAGTGGATAGGACACACATTGCGGAAAGCACCGAACTGCGTCACGAGACAAGCCCTCACATGGAACCCTCAAGGCAAAAGGAAAAGAGGAAGGCCAAAGAATACATTACGCCGAGAAATAGAGAAAGATATGAGAGGAATGAACAAAAATTGGACAGAACTGGAAAGGGAAGCCCAGGACAGAGTTGGTTGGAGAAAACTGGTGGGCGGCCTATGCTCCATTTGGGGTAACAGGCGAAAGTAAGTAAGTAAGTAATTGTCATATACCGGCTCAGTGGTCCGGAAGTTAGGCTTTTACGTGCAGGACCGGAGGTTCTGAGTTCGACTCCTACGAGTAGCAGCAGTGTTGGAAATGCATTATTGATGCGTCCCATAGTGTAACAAAACAGTCCCTCGAGGTTTCTAAAGGTGATCTAACAATGATTCATTCATGATTTCAATGTGATAACTGTCTTCAGTTAATCTTCTCAACTATCAATTGTGTTCAAATGTCTGTATACTGTTTCAACTGCATAATGCCTATTCAAATTCTAATATAATTAATATTAATAATTACAAATAATGAATGCGGGTGTTGGAAATGACCAGAAAGTTGTAGTTATATGTATATACATATCTGCAGACTCATTATAATTCATTTCGTTCAGCTGGGTATGAGAAGTAATATAAGAGAAAGAGAGAACAAACAACTAAGGTCATACACATCACATCACAAAATGCTTAAGGTCACATGAAAGAAACAACATATATACAATAAACATTTCAAGCCTCTCTAAAAATTAATCAGCTAGAATGAAAACATACGCCTTCATTTTCGACACTCTATCTGATTTCTACAGTAGAAAACCAAAAAAAAACTTCTAGCTACTATGGTAACTAGTCGCTTATAACTTAGATGATTGAAAATGTAAGTTTACTTAACGAACACTCGATCCTCGACTCTCAAGCCGTTTCTAATAACTGCAGGGGTCTAAATCTATATGGCAAATTAAACGTAAGAGAAAAGGCGCAATGTAAGAAATCTTCACTCCAAGGTTAGTTTATGCACAGAAAAAAGTTGGTTACACACAAGCTTAAATTCTGAAATCATATTATATATAGTAGTGGTATGGGTAAATATTCAATATAAATTGCAACAAGTGATTTGGCATTTTCTAGATGTTTATGGGGTCCTATTTCAGAAACGATTGGACAAAACGTTTCCTGGCGTATTTCGGTCACTAGAAACTTTTTCGAAAAGTAGTTTGAAATTCACAAACACAAAAATCTTTTCTGTATTGATGACACTCGCTATCGTTCAACATCTTACAGATTCTTTATAAAATTTACCATACATTTAGTCAAGTTTGAAAATGATCATCACTTACATGAAAATTATGTGCAGAAGTTACATCGGTCAGAAACACAGGTCAAAATTATAAAAAAAACTCTGTTCACTCCAAGCTGGTAGTCTGAGATTCCAGTAATTTAGGAAATGATAGTTATTGAAAGTTTATTTAACGGATGAATGAAATAATGCTCAACAAATGAGTCAAGATAAAGATGTAGATGCACAAAATTCAGTTGTCTGAAATTACGATGACAAGTCAATTAGACTTAATAAGTAATGTTGAGTAGCTTACACCTTATTGAAAGTTCATAAGGAAAATCTATCAATATTGAGTTAATGAGGCGTCTAAAATTGTTAAATATTACACGACAAAACAATAGCGATCATATTTTACGAAGTCTTGAAGATGAACTAACGGTTCACGACATTGAAAATCGATGTTTATATATTCATATATGTGCCTAAAATGATCTTCTCCACCTTATTCTCCTGAACATAAAGCCTACTGTTAACTATTTGGCTTTTTATATGATCAATGATATATTCGATTCAATGATGAGAACTGGTTACCCAAGTAAATTATCATAAGTTGAGAAAGATTATTGGAATATCATTTAATTGTAATAGCTGCCTTATTTATTTATTCTTCTCAGTGATCATTAAAAAGATTTTTAAAATCTAATTAATAACAGGATTTTAGTTTTACTGTAATATAGCAAAATAAGGATACTTCTTAGAAACCAATGGAAAATAGACGAATTCAAATATTAAAAGACAAACTTTAATTGAATCGCCAATCATTTCATTGCATTAAGCTGGATTTGAATAAAAGTAATTAGGAATTCAATTGACAATAGGAAACACAGAACAAACGTGCCAACATCTAATTTTGCCGTTCTATCGAGCAGTGTTAAAAGTTATTCCATAATATTAACTTAGGCTAAAAGTTATACCAAGTAAGACTAACAAGATGTTTATTAGATATCCACTTATAGCTAAGTTTTGAAGCATGTATACACTCATAAGCACTTAACTATAAAACTGGAATTATTCTTTACTTTACTTACATTCTATATCTAGACGACTTAACACTTTCCATTCAAATGTCACATGCGTACACGATCTTAAATTGTGACAACTCTAAGCGGTAAAAGTCAATATTATTGTCTAATAACGTATTAGCTACAATGACTGACTAATTATTATATGGTAAATGGCTAACTTTTTGAAAATCGATTACTTATCTGTATGATAACATCGAATTAATAGTGAAATGAATTTGCAATACATATTTTCAATAGCTCTAGAACTACGCATTGATCATAGACTATACAATTACCATAGAGTTATATCCTTCATGAATATATATATATATATATATATATATATATATAGTGTTCACTTTCATTTCATTTGATTACAAGTTGATTAGAGTTATTTTCTAAGGTAAAAACAAATATATTTAATAAGCTATTTAGAAAAAAGAAAAGAAAGAAGAAATTCAATTAAAGCAGATGATAAATTTCAAGATGAGAAATAAAAAAAAAGAAGTGGAACAACATTTGTTTGAAAGAAACATTTAATTAATTTAAAATAAATTAGAAAATTTCCTTTTTTTTCTAAAAAAAAAGATGAATATTTATTCACTTTAAAAGATAGGTAACTATAGAAGAAGTGGTCGTGAATATTGTCAAAAGAATTTTACATAGTGAACAAAACCAATTACAGAAATAAATGTTGGCAGCAAACACCTAACCTTATGTATATATAATACCGGATCAGCCTCATTCATACAGAACGCGAAACAAACACCCAGAATGAGTAGATTACAATATAAATCAAAAAATACTTTGTAAACCAGTGAGTTGTATACAGGACAACAAAAGAAAAACTAGTATTGACACACAAATACATATACAACATTCACACATCCAAACACACACATGCACAGGGAGAGAGAAGATCATATTTAATTGAGTTTTAAGTAGCAGTTAATTGTGTGGTCGATTGATTAGATGTCTGACTATGTGCTTCAGTTCCAATTAAACTAGATTTACCATGACCACCACGTGCTATTTCACTTAAAGCAATCCATGTTCCTTCTAAATTTTCTTTCCAAAGTGTAACCTAAATAGATTGGAAAAGAAAATAGAAAGAGTCAAAAACAACAACTACTACACAGAAATCAATCAACATGTAAACAAACAAAAAATAGATATTTACTTATTCAATATATGAGTTAGAAAAGATGATGAATGAATTTGATAGAATATAGTGTTGTACAACTACAATTATTGTTATTAACCTATACTACTACTACTGTGGTGTGAGCTACTTATAAGTAGTATATGACGTGTATCAACGTAATGTCTGGCAGCCGAAGATGGGGGAAGATCAAGAAAGGAAGAGTTAGAAAACAATGGAATTTGTATGAAACGCATGAATAGTGACAATGGATTGATGTTTTGCAACAGGAACAGTCCAGTTCGATATGATGAACTGTTATTTTGCAAATGAACGATATGGTTTTCCAATTTTACTGAGTAACTCTGTAATTTTCGTTAAATACAATTCGGTTGCCCCACCTGTGTTCTCTTTCACTACACAACTACTCTTTAACGTAATCTAATAGTTGTATTTCTATAAAAAAAATTGATTTTGACAAAAATTGACATAAAAGATTTCTATTAGAAAAGTTTATTAAATTCACTAAATGAAATTATGTACTGTTAAATAATTGATATTAAGAATTTTTTGTTAAAAAAAATAAAATAAAACAAAATAAAATAAACTTGAACACATAGTTTTGTTGTCATCAATAAGCTTCTAATTGCTTTTATCTTTGACACCTGACATCAGTTCAAGTTGCCACACCGCATTAGCACAGAGACACTACCGTCAGTTCAAATCTGATAGTATTTGAGATAGTAGAAATATTAGCAGTAATGGAGAAGATTAGAGAGCGAAGATATAATTCGAAAAGTATAATTCAATGAGATAAATTTCGGAGGAGAAAGATAGAAATGATGATGAATTCAGAAGGTTTGAATTTGAGAAAACGCAAAGAGTGGATGCACCTACACCATTGTAAACGATTTTAAGCCATGTCGTTCAAGTTCTCTAACCATCGGTGACTTTCATCTCGCGGACCCCAACCAGGTAGCCCGCATTTACCGACATGATACAGTTCACTTATCAGTGACTTCATGAATTTCTGCCATGTTTGGGTTTGGCCGCTCCCAGCTTTCTTCCAACCTACTCCTACACCAGGCAACATCGCTCATGGAGACTGTCAGTGGTTGGGCATTCGTAACACATGTCCCAACCAGTAACGTATACTACTCTCTCTAACGTAAACAAATCTTTATATTTCTATAAAAAAAAAATTGATTTTGACAAAACTTAACATAGAAAATTTCCATTAGCAATGTTTATTAAATTCACCAAATGAAATTATGTACTGTTAAATAATTGATATTAAGAATTTTTCGTTAAAAAAAACACATAATTTTGTTGTCATTAGTAAATTTTTAATTGTTTTTTTATCTTTGACCTAAGGTGAGAATTGACCTTAATCATAGGGGGAAAAGACTGTTTGATGGTGAATAATACACACAATTCATTGTACTTTATTAAACTTGATAATAATGATGACGACAATAGTGATGACGATGATGACTAAGAGCTGTAAACAAAATTAATGACAACATTTGGGTTAATGGTACAAAAAGAATATGATAGATTATCATCATCAGTGGGAAGATTTTACAAAAAGAAGCAAATACAAACATACGAACAATATTAGTTTGTATAAGTTGAAACAAGAGGAATAAACATTTTCGTAATTTTTTTTTAAAAACTATGTATCATGACTATAATAGATTAACCAAAAGGTGTACAGGTTATCAGTCATGTAATATTGACATCTAGGGAAACAGTAACAGTACAGTTGAGATAGATTATAGTTTAGAAAAGAGAAGAGTGTAATTGAATGTATTTTTTTGATTTCAGTCAGTCAGTCAGATGCAACGTAGAACTTCGTACGTAAGTACATCAGTTCATGTTACCATACCACATCAGCACAGAGATGTAATTGTCAGTTCAAATCCAATAGTAGAAGAGGTAGTAAAGGTATTAGAAGTAATCGGAGTGGTTAGGATTAGAAGATATTATTTATTCAATGCTAGTTTGCATTATCTCATTGTTAGTGTTATGACTAAAGTATTGGCAATATATACATTCTCTGCAGATTGTCTTGCATTTGACTAATTACGATGGAGCTTTAAATGGAATGTGATCAGCAACTAAATGGATGATGCTTTAGAATTCACAGTGTAAAGTAAAACGTCCGAATCCAGGAATGGATATCAACGCTACAAAGCAAGTACACTTAGTTGATGAGTCTTGGATTCCACCACTAATCAGACTCCGCCTATTCTGGACAAAACGTTTTCTTTTCTCATTTGATCATAATATCACTATTAAGTTAACTATTCACCGATTTCTTTTAATCAGTTATCTTATTGTCATTAAAAAAAGTGATTTGATTTCGCTTCCTATTTTATGCCGATTCGGCATTTTTTTCCCCATTCAGTAGTAACAACTAATAATCAATGAGTGTAAACTATTGCATATCTACGCATAGCAGATAATGTAAATGACTTATTTTTTTTCACTTTTTATTTTAAACAATAATCATGCCTTTTGATTATCTTCAAGTTTATTCCGTAGTTTTTCTTTTTTTAAATTCTGAAAATACACGCAACAATAGATTTGTATCAAAAAACAAAAGACATGACACAATTGTATCGCATCCTAGACAAATGAAATATTTAATAGGACGATTCAAGCAGTTTAAAGAGAGAGAGAGAGCAAAAAAGGATCTTGACACGTATTCAACAATAAAATAACAAATGAATTAATATTATTATTATTATCATTATTACTATCAATTAATTAGTTGTTTTTTGAACACATTCTTTGAATAAATAAAAGATGCGAAACGGCATAAAAATTATATTATACAGTATGATGTGGCTTAAAACCAAACTAAGTAGGATTGACTGAATTCATATAATTACTGCAGTTGACATAATGTATACTACTTGTAGTCGTAGGAAAGATGAATAATCGAAAGTTCATGAAAGAATTCACTGTAAATTAATCTTTTCGATTACAATTTAATAATTATACAACTCATTATCTTTATTTTTGAATATGACAAGAGAATTTTATTTTATTTTTTCCGAACTTGAATCATATCAAAACTCTGGAAAGTGTTCAATCTGTCAGACAGTTTGTTTACATGACAATATAGTAGTGAGGTTTCTACGGCATAATTAATTATTGAAATTGAAATGTAACAGTGTACTACTACTACTACTACTGTAGTGAAGGAGAACACAGGTGAGGGCAACCGAATTGTATTTAACGAAAATTACAGAGTTACTCAGTAAAATCGGAAAACCATATCGTAAACGGTTAATTTGCAAATCTTCAATTCATCATCAATCCATTGTCTGACATTTCACTATTCATGCGTTTCATACAAATTCCATTGTGTTCTAACTCTTCCTTTCTTGATCTTCCCCAATCTTCTGCTGCCAGACATTACGTTTACACTCGCGTCATATACTACTTATAAGTAGCGCGCACCACACTACTACTACTACTACTCCACCTTCCGAATACAATAGACTTGTAAATGTTTATCATTATACGCATCATTTTTTTAATTCTATTAGGGTCATATTCAGGTCAAAACTAAAAATAATTATATGCTGTAACAACACATTTGTAAAAAAAAAAAACTGTTCACAGTTTTTTTTAACAAATAACATAGTAATAAAAATGAAGAGAAGAAAATTAAATGATTCATCTTTATATAAGAATGATCAAATTATTCATTTGTTGTGCAGTCATCTTTCAAATTAAAATAAAACAAAACAAAGCTACAATAAAATGAAATGAAATGAAAACGAGCTGGAATATGATGAAAAGTTGATGTTTTATAAAATTCACAAAATTCATATTGTAATTGACCTTAGGTGAAAGTTGTTACAACAACCTTGCCTTAAACGTACACCATCATCAAAGGGGTCAGGGTCATACAACATACACATACACATATACATATATGGAAAAAATAACTAATCAGGTCGATTTGAATATCAATGAATCAACACAACACTATACAATTATTCTGTGACGATGATATCATCTGACGATGAAAGAGGTTAAGAATGAGGCTGGTTTTCTCTTTCAAGTTGTAATGAATGAATAATTAACAGAAAAGAAAAAGTAAATAAGCATAAAGAAGATCGAATAAGTTTCTCTTTCTCACATACACACATACATACATACATACACACATCACACTTACACACAAATAGCCATGCATGATGGCTAACTTCGTGAGGTGTATTCTCATCAGTACTTGTGTATAGGAGGAGGAGGAGGAGAACATTATTTTGTAAAAATGAATGAGGTGGTTGTTAATATTAACACTGAAAAAAAAAAGAGAACAACTAGTTGAAGTGTAGAGTAACGCCCGTCAACACATAAGACAAAGAAATAATTAAATTTCGGTGACTGGTTTTTTTTTCTTTTTAACACTTTTAATTAATATGTAGATTAAATTTACATGTTGTTATGTTTTGCAACATGAGTTAATGATTCATGGAAAAAGTAAATTAACAAATTTAGAGTACGATGGAGATGCATGCTTATATACTTCAATTTTATGTACTATGCAAAGTTAACTCAGCATCAATTCATAAAGTGATTGACAGTTTGAGTCACCTAAGTATAGACATAGATGATCTGGGACTTATGTAACCAGTGTTTAAGAGATGTTAGGCAATCTGAATAGGAATTGTTCACAGTGACTAAGACATACTGATTCCTTATATTCCCCCAAGATCCTGATTTTTTTTTTAAATTAAAGCATAATGTTTGTTATAATCGGCAGCATTGTTTCTTTTGAAAAACATTTATTTGCTTCATCTTTTCTACTATCACTGATACTGTTATGATTTCTACTATTCTGGGAGTTTGCCAAGACAATTTTATCTTGGATTAATGTGAAGTGATAAATTAAACAGAAATACACATATTCGTTAGCCTCTACATCGCTACTGACTAATTCAATGTAAAAAAATCAAATTATCATATCATATGAATAGAACAATATGAAATTGCTGAGACAAACTATAATACCACAACAGTGGAAATAGTTAGTTACAGTACTAAGGACAACATAAACTATTGTGATTCGACAAGGAATGATTTTATGAAGTAGACAACAAAAGACGAAAAGGGAATTAGTAAGACGAAGAATAAATATTTAAAATAATCATTAGCATTCATGGGATCTATTCATTATAAACATTAATTAACTAATAATAATAATAATAATAATAATAATAATAATAATAATAATAATAATAATTACAAAATAAATCATGATTTATCGTTCCTTTGATTGAATATATATATATATATATATATATATATATATATATATATATATATATATGAATTATAGAAAGTGAAATGAGCCAAAAACAAAATTATAATTAAATTGAATTTTGACAAATCATATGTCAATCAATTAGTTGAATAATGAATCAACATAAAATCTGACAAATATAGATTAGATCAAGTTGTCATAATATCATGAGGTGTCAGTTAATGAGGAGAAGATCAGTTCAACGTAAAAAGTAGCAACGATAATAGAGAGAGGCAAGACATGTTATTAAGAAGGATAAAACACTATGAATAATGAGGTCAGAAAAGAACAGATGATATCGATAAGTCTTTTATTTCAATAAAATGAAAAAAAAATTAATATTTAACCAGCAAGTTTAAAGCAATGATATGTTTTAAAAAAGACAATTTCTAATATTAGCAATCGAAATGTTGATTTTAAAGTCAGGAAACATGGTTAATGTCAAGCTGTTGCTAAGACTTAATTCAATCACTTTACTACAACGCAGAACTTCGTACGTACTTACATCGGTTCAAGTTGTCATACCACAGAGGTGCAATTGTCAATTCAAGGTCATGAGGAATTCAGGAACACAAAGAATCGATGTACGTGCTCCATTGCAAACGATTTCGAGCCATGTCATTCAAAGTCTTTAACCATCGGTTACTAATAGTCCCGCGGACTCCAACCAGCTAGTTTACACCTACTAACATGAAACAGTCCAGTCAAAATATCCTTAAAAGGATACTCCAAACTATTACAAAAATAAAGTAAACATTTTTTTTAAACATACTTTATTATCTCCTCCAGACACGGCTAAAATATTCCCAGTTACAGACCATGAAACATTCCATACAACATCTGAATAGGTATATAGAATGGTTGGACGCCAAAATGTAGAATATTGTGTAGGTTGAAAATCTTTTGTTTCTAATAATTCATTTGAATTAGGATTATTATTATTATTATTGATATTGTTACTATTATTATTATTATTGTTATTATTGTTTATAGTTGGTGTTGTTGCTGTTGGTGTATTCATCATTATACGATTATCATTATTATCATTAGTTGATGTGGATTGCCAAATGATTAATCGACCATCTTGACCACATGAAGCAATTAATTGTCGTGAAATATTTAAACTTGGACACCAAGCAACATCACGTACCCAATCGGTATGACCGTCTAAACGAGCTTCTTCAATCCATTCAGAATTTCCTGAAGTAATATCTTCTCTATTGAAATATAATAAAATAAGCATAAATAGTACTAATAAAATCAAGATTTCACTTGAACTCACACTAATAAATAATTTTAAAAAGTTAAATAAAATGAATCTTTGTTGACGATATTATTTATTCCAGTTGTATAATCATATTTATAGTTAATTTTTAATAGAAAATGGGATGACAATTACATCATGTCTTGAATTAAATAAAGTTGCTTAATAATCGGGCACTGAAGATAGATAATAAGACGAAATCAAACATGTTAAGGAATAATTGTCCACTTCAGCAGTATAAGACGAATGAAGAATATATCAAAACATACAGGTGATAATGACGAATGATTAAAATTAATTAAATAGAATGAAGCGAT